AAAATATGGAAAACCAACAGCATGAGGTAGTGTTTTATATCTGCCAGATGAATATCACAGAAAAAAAAAAAGACAATATTGTTTTGGACTGCTTTTTAAGATGTTGAAGAATGGAACACTTCAAAATGGAAAGAGTTTATTGAAGAACAAACTTAATATACTAAACTGGTAATAATTTTCAGAAAAATAGTAATTCAGTTGGTCCCTTTTCTAATTTTAATCTTTAATCATATTGGACTGAAGGCATTCTGTTTACCCTTTATAAATTGATTTGTGCATAAGAACATTTGGTTTCAAGATATTCCTTCTGCCTGCCAATTGTATAGAGGATTTTGATATGGGAAAGAAGCTGAACATTTGGGGAAAAAAACAATTGTTCTGAAATGCTTTCACATGAAAGAGTCTTGTAGTATTGAGACTGGCTTAGAGAATGGTTTTCCTTGGCAGCAGAAAACTTGTATTGTTGATTTCTTGGGAATCTCCAGATTTAGCAATGCTTGTGAGAATGTTTCTCATTGAAATGCTTTCCAGAAAAACTCAGGCAACCTTTCATGGCTTCATCTTAAAATATTTAACACCCTTGGAGAACCTACTATATAGGTCTCTTAATAATGTTTGTAGGAGGAGAAAGAAGGAGAAGAGACTTTTCCCAGGATACTCTGCAGTAAGATCTTTAACAGTCTGTTATTTTGAAGGAAGATGTTTGTCTCTTGGCTGTGTTATTGAAATTAAAGTGGGGACTCAGAGCAATCACATCAAGCTGAGACTCTTTCCTGGTGATATGGAATTGCTCCCTTAGGGATACTCAGAGATTGGGAATCTGTAACAGTGACTTCTCCACCTCTGGGGCTTCTCATCAATAATAGCTAAGATTCTCTAGCACCTCTTTGTTTAAAGGCTCCACAAACTGATTTCCTTGCTTCACAGAGGAATCATTTCAGCTTTCCCGAAAGGCAGTCTTTTCTGTAGTGAAAATGACAGCTGTTTTACAGCTGCAAAGCAATGTACTACAAATATGACTCTGTTTTTGGTTCCTTTCACATTAATGTATCTCCTAGCGATGGAGCTAAATAAAAAAGGGGGAGAAATAAAAAAGTATTCATGAGAGTGAGAATGTGGCCTGGTAGAAAAATTAAGACCATTTTTAATTGCTATTGAATGGGATGAGTAAATTTTAACTTATCAAGTTACAATTTGGCTGAGTTATCAGTACCAGTGCAGAAAGATATGTTTTTGTCATCTCTAAATAATTCCTGAGAGTCACTTCTACAGAATTCTAATAAACATGATCCCTAGTATATAAAGAGCTATTTTTGGATTATCCTAAGTAAATCTATTTAGAGGAGAAACTATAATTCTTAGATGCTACAAGCCTTATGTAGAACAACTTATTAAGCGCTTAGACCTGGGTGAATTTTGCTATCACCTTTATTCTTCTGGTTTCCAGTTATGATTTAGTAATCATTCTCTAGAATGTAAATAACAAGCTATGAGACTTAAAAAAAAAAATCATACCCATTATACTAATACTGTTTTTATAGTAAGTTTCAATTTACATGTTATAAATCTTTTAGCTATGTAAATTGATATTCTGTGAGGTAAAAAGGGCAAGTATTAGACCCATTTATAGATGAATCTCAGAATTTAACTGACTTAGCAAGGTTATACTGCTACTAATAACTTGAAGAACAAAGCTTTTCATTCTAAGGCTTCTGCCTCCCTGCTTCTCCTTTCTAATTCTTCTGCATTGCACTTAATTTTCAGGTGGGATGGACATTCTTTTGGCAGTAGAATCACAGGTGTATGAGTGTGTTCTCTGACCTCCATTTATCAAATATTAATTTTTAAATAGTATTTGTGTGTGTAATATACAGCTGTAAGTGCTAGTTGTAAGATTTCTTACCTCAAATTTAAAGTCTACCTGGGACATTGGGTAGACCATGATAAAATTAGAGTACAAGGTTTATGTATTTGAGTACTGATTGTTTATGCCAGCTGAGCAGAGCCCTAGGAGAAAGGTCAGTTGGAGTGAAGACAACCTGTAAGTGATATGGGCGTGGGTATAATGCACTTAAGAGTCCATAGGTTTCTTGATTGTTCTTGTAGTGAAGCGAGATTTGGATCTGAGTGAGAAAATGCTAAAAATGAGGAACTCAAAACTGGAACGCTGTAGATTAGGGGTGGCGTAGGTTATATATCTGTATAGCAGGGGGAGAGAACAGAGTCTCAGAATCATGCTTAACATTTAGGGCTTCACAAGCAAATTGAGAGCTACTAGATTTGAATTAGGAAAAAGGGTAGAGCTGGAGCAACAGTGGTTTTGTCTGTCGAGTTGTCTGTAGAGATGCAGTAACTAAAGAGGGCTCGTTTGATAGTTTGAGAGGTTAGAGAACTGAACCTTAGGAATTAATGTCTGCTGTTGAGAGGGAATAATAAAGAGAAATACATAATCAAACTATTCATAAAACTCTCAGTCTGTAGACTATGATGGTCTGTCAGAGTTAAGGGTTATCTTTTTTATGACAGCACTGGGAGTCAAATAATTATCTTTAGGTTGGTAGGTATCATGTTAGGAAAATAATGAAGCTTGAGGTCGTTGTATAAGATAATGGTTTCTATGATGGAGAGATGTTCTCTAAGTCTTTAGGTTTTTTTCAGAAATCAGACTGTTGAGACAGTTCTCACTCTAGGACTGGAGTGTGCAAATAAAGTAGACTAGAGGAACTTGAGGAAATGTGAGGACAAGAGTGGGTTGCCATATAGATATTGTACTTAAAACGTAAAGATCTGAAAAAGAATTTTTATGTCAGTTTTCAGTATCCTGGTTGTACTGTGAAATTTTCCTTTTCTGCATCCTTGTATAGATGGAAGTTTTCCTATGTACTGAGGTGTCACTTTCTTAGTGTCTCAGAATATGCAGATGAATGCTGAGAGGATAGAAACCAATACCCCATATTAAAATCGATCAGTAGGCTACTAAGTGCTCTGGCCCTGCGTCTGTCCTGTAGCACTCTGGGTATGTTTACCTACTTTGTTATATAGTGTCAAGTCACCTGGGCACGGCCATCATTTCCAGAACACTTTTTGCTTTAAATTTATTTATTGGGCTCTCCCTGGTGGCCCAAAGGAAGCTAGCCTTAGCTGCTTCATCAGGCGCTGGATCCCCTCCCAGGGAGGTGACCCACTTGGATAGCAGACCTCTCCTGTCTCCCTGCTGCACCCCTCAGCAGTATACTTCATCAGTCTGCTTGTTCTCCCCCCCACTCTGTCTCTGGTGAATCCTCTCACCATCCCCTGTACCCCTGGCCTGTACCCCAGTTCTGTATGCATGAATAAATAAATCTTTTAAAAAAATAATAAAGATTTATTTATAGAAGAACTGGGATGTAGTCCACAGGTTGAAGGAATGGTGAGAGGATTCACCAGAGACAGTGGGGAGCAGAACGGGGAGATACACTGAAGTATGAGGCAGTGGGGAGCAGTGGGAGAGACATGAAAGGTCTGTAAATGCCATAGTGAGTTAGCTCCCTGGCTGGGGTTTGAACTTGCCTTGTGCTAGCACTGAGTTTTAACTCCTACGCTACTAAGGAGGCCCACTTCTTGCCTTTTTTTTTTTTTAATGCTATTCTTTTAGCTTTGTTCTTAGTTTAGAGAAAGATCTTTGTAATGAATTTGTTGGCCTGGTTGCTTAGCAGCTTGCTATGATTATGTAGCTTGGAACAGATACATTACCATTTAGAAATTTTGGTTTCCAGCCCTGATTCAGGTATAGGTTGCCTCCAAGCTTGGAATTGAAAGCTTTTTTGCTCTTAGAGCAATCGTCAGATGTGTACAAATGGATAATCCTATAGCATTTACTAGAAAATATCTTTATGATTGCATATTCTCTTCTAGTTATTTTTTTCCCTTTATTGACCTCATAGCTTTATGGCACAATCTTAGAAACATCACCAAATCATTAAAGAATTCTTAAAATTTTATTTAGTTGCATGAAATGAGGACAAGAACTAGTATGTTGAAGGGGTGATTAGGAAAAACATAAAAATGGTATTTCTGGGGACATATTTTCAAATGAAATTTGACTTCATTTTCTTGATAATTTTCATAAGGTTCAGTTGATGTCTTTCTTAACTGTTAAATGAAGATCTTATTTCCTCAACATACTTCTAAATAAAGTCTGCTTGGAACAGAACTGCCTGTAAGGACACCATTTTAATGTACTATCAGCAGGTCTTTGGGGAAACACGAAGCCTGAAATTCACCATACAGAACTCAGTAACAAATGGTTTTTCCTTTGCCCTTCTAACTGTGAAGGTGGTGTATTGTCTCCTTGATGCCAGAATGTGGTACAACATAATCCTTTGCCTATACTTAGTATAAATTTATTAGACACAGTCTCAGCACGCAGTCCAGCAGAGAGCCCTGCATTACAGAAATAATTCTTGTGCTGCTGAGCTGGCGATTTCCTCACTTAATCACTCCTGTGACGTCATCTGTGCTGTTGGTAGGAAATGTGCTGACCATGTCCTGCATTTTAAAAGGCAGTTGCAACAGGGGTAGTAGCCAAAAATGAAATTCAAAATAAATGTTTCTGACTTATGTTGAAGATTTCAAAATGTGGCAAAAGTTAACACTAATCAATAGGCCTGCCTAAGAACCACATTTTGTCTTTCATCATACCTGTAGCAGTCAACTGATAATGCTCGTTTCTAATTGCATTCTTCTCAGCTCTATTGTGATTGCAGAATCGAGGGAAAAAAACTAGGCAGGGCAAGGGTGGGATCATATCTTCAGGTCTGGAATGCTTGTTTTCAGGAGTCTTAACCATTCTACTTTTGTTTTTATAATAAAAATTTAGCTGTTGGCTTGAGCTTCTTATAATGGCAGCTTTAAATGGAAGAGTCCATATGTTAATCATTGATAGCAACACTGGTTTGCTACTCAGTCTATTGTCTAAGGGGGAAGGCAGGGCCCCTAATGTATATTTGATTTCTTGGCAGAAAGATGGATACCACAATGCTGAATTTGCGGAATCTGTTTGAGCAGCTTGTACGCCGGGTGGAGATTCTCAGTGAAGGAAATGAACTCCGTAAGTCATTCTGAGGTGGCCTGTGTAAAGAGAAAAAAAATCATATTTCAGACTTGGATTTTCTAGTTTCTATAAGACTAACGGGGGTTCTAGTTTAAAAATCATTTTTCATTTGTTTTACCTAAAAAAAAAGCTAATGATCACTTATTGATGGTCAAAGATTAATAATTCATTCTAAATGGTAACTTTTTTTTCTGTTGTCTTTAAAGAGGTTTTAACTAGATTTTTTTCTTTATCAAGGTTCATTTTTCACTGAATAGTTGGCACTAGTTGTCAATTTCCTCTTTGTACCATGAACTGGGCAAAATCTAAATTTTGGAGGGTGTTGCTATTTTTCTTAGAGTAGTAGTTGTCTACATTTTCTGTCCTGGACTATAAGATAAGATATTTTCATTGAAGAGGAAAAAAATCATAATTTCTTTTTGAAGGAATTTTCCTTCTGTGTTTATTACCTAATTCACATATTTGAGACTTAGTAGTGGAAGATTGAGATAGGGGGACGTTCTGATAGGGCAGTCATCTACGGGCAGCTTAGTGATATGTAAGGTGGATCTGATGGCACTGACTTCTGTGACCTAAAGGAATTATTCTTCACTAACTTTTCTTTGTGTTTCCATCTTCTATTTCAGATTTTCATTAATACCCAATTTAGTAAATGTCACTCTTAAGTCAGCCTAATTAGTATAAAACGACTGCAAGAACTGTGACTTTAACTTCCCAGTACTTAGTATGACGTCTTGCTTATGCCACTCAACATTTCCTTTAATTTGATTGATGTTTTTAATAGCTGTTATCCACTTACAGGCCTTTCAAAACAATATTCTATTTTCTCTAATAGCTGTTGCATGACCCTATCATCTGGTACCAACTCAGTAACCATGATGGCATACTAATTAGGCTTCTCTCTGAGGTCACATCATCTCAGAAGATAGATTACTTTGTAGTCTAGCAGGGAAGAGTATTGAATAAGTGATCTTAAAATTCAGGCTCATTTAGCAAATATTTAGTGAGAACCTAGCACAACTTTTATCACATGTTGAGTTAGAGAAAGGGATGACTAAATGGCTTTATAGAAAAGAGTAGGGTTTGAGTTGGACCTTTCGTATAAATTAGGAGCCCAACAGACTGAGCTAAAAGAGAACATTATGGTCAAGAGAACTGCTTGAACGGACATACCACGTTGGTTGTGAGGGTAGTAGGAGTAAGTCGGGTGACATAATCAGGCTCTACATTTGAAGGGTTACTCTGGCAGAGTTGGACATTGGGAAACCGATTATGACCTTGGGGTGATAACATAGGAAAGAGCAGGAAGCCCGTCATGAATGATGTAGTTGTGAAGATGGAAATAAGGAAAAATGGGAGAGATTATGATAATAGGATCTCTATGAGGAGGCAGCTGTTAAAGATGTTGAGAGTCTCAGTAACTAGTGCTGGTTTTAAACTCTTACTTCTGTATCAATTTCTCCATCTGTAAAATAAGAATTTAAACTCCTATCTTTATGGGAGTGTAGGAATTTGAGGGCAAAAAAATATATTGGGTATATTCCAGAAAATACTTCTGGAAACAGTTCTCTCCTCCCCCTCTTAAGACCCCCCCAACCCCATAAGATAATGATTTTTATAGGTACTATTATTTGTAAGCAACATTCTAGTTTTGTATTGATTTCTGTTATAAAATAGAGGTACCTTTGCTTCCACTCTCCAAATTCTTAATTTATAACATTGACTTTTGTAAAACAGCTCAGTCTTTCTAGAATGTAGATTCACTGCTCTTCAACCACACCTCTGTCTCTGTCCTTTTGTTAGATCTTAGGAACTGCTCCATACCTAAGTACCCCAACACCTTAATTTTGCTTTTCATCATTGTTCTTCTCCTTTAAAAAAAAAAAAAAGGCCAAGGTTACTGAGAACACACAGTGAAGGTTAAAATTCAAATAAAATGATTTTTATAGCCTAGGTATTCGTTACCTTTGTTTCCACCAGTCTACAAGGTTTTTATCTTATGTTTTTACAGTATTTTTCTCTTACGAAATAGAGGATACTACAAGCTTCAAAAATTAAGCTTTTGGCATAGAAAATTTAACTTGGAGCAGGCTGATTAGGAAAGGATTCACAGAGCAGCTGGGACTAGGACGCAGGTACATACAGAAAAGTAGGTAGGGCGCCCCCTCCGGAGTGGTTAGCGGAGTCACAGCTGAGGAAGCAGGAGTGGCCAAAGGTCTGTTCTGGTGACAGGGACAAACTTGTTTAGTTAAAAAGAGGGTATTGCACAGTGATAGGGATGTTTGATTAGACTATACTTGGAGTTTAAATTTGATCTGAAAAGCATCATTTGTTCAGTGAATAAGTACCTACTATGCTTCAGAGTGCAAGTTCTGGAACTCAAAGAGCAGAAGCTTGAAGGGTAGTCGTGAAGGCAAACATTCAGGAGGAATAAATGTCAAGATTGCTGGAATTAATCTTTTTGCCGAACTCTGAACCAAAACCAGATTTTTTTTTAAATGAAGTTAAGAATACCCTCAGTTTGTTGTAAGGAACCTCCCTTTCTTTTTTTCTTGATAGATACATTTCATATTTTGATGATACATATAGCTTTTGCGTGGAAGTACTTTGAATGTGGGCTTCATGCTAAGGGCTAGTTCCAAATCGAATGTGATTTACAAACTGACAAAAAATGCCATGTGTGTTGGTTACCACCAACAAAGTTTTCCAGAGTGCTTTTTTGACCCATCTTAGAAACCTTAGCTCATAACAGAATTTTTTTTTTAAGGTTTATTTATTTATGTATACAGAACTAGAGTACAGGGCAGAGGTGCAAGGGGTGAGAGGATTCACCAGAGACAGAGTAGGGAGCACAACAGGCAGATGTACTGAAAAACACTGTTGAGGGGAGTAGTAGGGAGACAGGAGACTTCTGCTGTGCCATGTGGATCAGCTCCCTGAACCAGGGATTGAACTTGTGCTGTGAAGCTGTAATAGCTTCACAGTGCTGAGATGTAAGCCGTTGTGCCACCAGGGAGGCCCTTATAACAGGATTGTATATAAAAGCAATACCTCCATCAGTTATGTCAGTCTTCTGGTTTTCGCCTGATACAAATTTAACTGAACTAATAATTTAATAATTTGTGTTATTAAAAAAGGAGGGCCTCCTTTGAAATGAACTGACTTTCTTTGGTTTGAGTTTCATTGTCCAGTTTGTTTAGACCTATAATGTTTGCCATGTAACAATGAATAAAAATTAAAAATCAAATTTATTAAGACTTATCAAGAAAAGGGTACCCTAAAGAGCAAGCAGACCTGTAAAATTACGTCAGATGGAAATCTCTTAATTCTCAAAATGATTTTTGAATTCAAAAATAATTAGTTGTGCAGGTAGCACTATATTTAGAAACATTTAATTGACCAGTGTGGAGCTAGAAAGATTTTAGACTGTCTAGTTAATAAATGTGTTTGAAATTGAAGTGTTATATATACATCATAAAAATATACCAGCGTACTCCTTGATGACTTGCTGGATTGAACATGGCCAAGTAACCAGGGCTTGTTTTTATTTTTCCCTTATTTTATATATAATGTTGAAATGAAAATAGATTAGCAAAAGAATATTTTTTGTTTGCCTCTTTTTTTAATTAAGGGAGACAACTTAGTATATTCAAACTGGTGCCTAATGCAGCATATCACTTAAAACTATTGGAATTGTAATAATTTATTTTATTTGGGGGCTCCTTCATATTTGCGTTGTCTGAGATAACTAGATCATAGTATCCTGTTTTGCTAAAATACGTTGTTTGCTAAAAACTGAAGATTCCTTATATTATTTAAGACTTGGTTTCTCTGCACTAGATTGGTATATTGACTTAAAATTCAGTTTATTTAAAAAGAACACACTATTGTTTCTATGCTCTTAGAGTAAATTCAAATAAGAAAAGTGCCCTTACTACCTAGTAACCTGTTAGCTTTGTGTGTACTTGGCCTAGTTTATTTGTAAACTGGGTTAGTTTGGCCAGCAGCAGATGTACACCTTGGAAATATCCTCTATAATACTGGTGGTGGAGAGTGATGCTTGGAGAGAGGTTGAGGTTAACTAGGTAACAGTGAGTTGTGGTCCCTCCCTGGTGGCACAATGGGTTAAAGCGCAGCACTGCAAGCTGATCTGCCTCAGTGCGAGTTTGAACCCCAGCCCTGGAGGTGACCCAAATGGTGCAGCAGACCTCTCCTGACCTGCCCGCTGCTCTCCTCAGCAGTATACTTCATCAGTCTGCCTGTTCTGTGCACTACACCGTCTTTGGTGAATCCTCTCACTGCCCCAGCACCTCTAGCCTGCGCCCCAGTTCTGTATGCATAAATAAGTAAAATCTTAAAAAAACAAAAAAAAAACAGTGAGTTGTTGTAGAACAACTGTTGATATATGGCAGCTGATAAGAATGAATGCCAGCCAGGGTTATCATGGGAGGAACTGCTTTGGAAGTGATATTCTTTAAAAGAGCTTACATCCTGCTATTTGTGAGATATTCAACACTAGTATGATAGTCTCTTCCTGTGTCTTTCCAGTTGGAATGTTTACATTCGCTTTGAGGCACTGTTAGACAGCAAAAGCAAATTGGCTCTTTACTATCAAATCAATATTTGTATAATTATACAGCTGAATGGAATCACAGGCCTAGAAATCTCTAATATTAATCTATAGCTATTGGAGCATATTAAAGCTGTTATATTTGAATTTGCTGTTTAATGTCTCTGGCACAGCAACACATGATTCTAAAGGAGGCTATTTTTGTCTTATAGTAGTAACTGCCTTGGTGTATGACAGCTGCCCAAAGGTATCTCCCTCTGATTGCCTTCTGTTCAGAGGCTTTCAGTGTTAATGTTACATCTGGAGCCAGGTGACTAATGAGTTACTTACTCCACAGCAGATGCCACTGGCTAAGCCAAAAGTAAGTGGCCTGTTGAATTGCTCCCCACAAAGCTCTCATCTAAAGTGATGAGCATATCCAGGTCTGCTTCTGGTTATTTTCAGTTGTATTTGCCCATAATTCAGCTGGTCCCTTAATTATGTATTTGGAGTAAAACTCACGAGAGGCTTGATTTGTTAGAACATTCATACTGCTTGATACTTGAATTATGAAAGTTTTCCTCTTCCCTTAGAATTCATTCAGTTGGCAAAGGACTTTGAGGATTTTCGCAAAAAGTGGCAGAGAACAGACCATGAACTGGGGAATTACAAGGATCTTTTGATGAAAGCAGAGACTGAGCGCAGTGCTCTGGATGTTAAGCTGAAGCATGCACGCAATCAGGTGGACGTAGAGATCAAACGGAGACAGCGCGCTGAGGCTGACTGCGAAAAATTGGTGTGTATTGTTTTCCATATTAGAACTGTGATGGTGAGAGAGGGGAACATCATTTGATATGTCTTCATTTGCCAAAAACACCCATTTTCTTCTTTCACATCAAGGCAACTGTGACAGCTTGTCCATGATCGGAGCTGAAATTGCAGCTTAGGAATTGTGTTCTTTCTAAGTCGAAATTAAAAAAATTGTTTTTTCCTTTACATTTAAAACTATTAAATAATAGATTTCAAATGAAAATTGGAAGAATTAAAAAGTATAGGGAAAGGCAGGAAAATCCTAGCATATTTGATCTGTCACAAGATGTTGGTCATCTCACATGCTACCCGGAATATCCTTATCCTGTATCATTTGAGCGGGTTTTTTGTCTTGGTACAGGCAAGACAACTCTTAAGTCTGCTTCATCACTACTAATAATTCGGGGGGGGGGGGGAATGTACTCAACTGGTTGAGCAATGTGACCCACATAGAACACTGTTATTTTGATGTAGCAGGGTGTAGGTCATAGTACAAATGAAAGCTTTACCAGAAAGGACTGATCCTCCTTGATACAGTGTTAGATGCTTCAGTAAGCTCATATGGTCTCATTCTAGTGTGTCACAACTTTGTGTCCATTGTAATTCATTTGTTCCACTATTTAGAAAGGTGGGTGGCTACTTTGATCCAAAGAAGCAGCCAATAATTGTCCTAATACAGTGACACAAAGAGTTTTGCTGTGCAAAATCTATATTGGAGCTCTCATCTTGCAGTTCTCTCTCCTCTTGGATTATCAGTTTGATTCTAAAATCTTATAGTGGAAACCTCACTATTCTAGATGGAGTTCATTTTACCAGTCAGAAATCAGAAACACAATCTGGGCTTGATTTGAATTAATATGCTATTGGTGTAGCAGCCTTCCTGAAGACTCATTTGCATAATGCTGTATTTTAATGTCTTCTAGTCTGCCCATCCCATAAATTTGAGGTGAAGCTTTCTCCCCTGGTTAGTTATGATGTTTTACTTTGCTTTGGTCTATAGGAAAGACAGATTCAGCTGATTCGAGAGATGCTCATGTGTGACACATCTGGCAGCATTCAACTAAGCGAGGAGCAAAAATCAGCTCTGGCTTTTCTCAATAGAGGCCAACCATCGAGCAGCAATGCTGGGAACAAAAGGTGGGGGTGCTGCATCTGTTGTTATCAGATCACAAGCAACACAGCTGTCAGAAGTTCTTGTTATCTGAACTCTTAAATATACTGCTTTTGGAATGTGTGCTGAATAAAGCAGAAAAATACTTTGGAGGAAGGGTGGATAAAAAATAAAAGTAGAGGAGCCTCCCTGTTTGTTTTTTTGTTTTGTTTTGTTTTAATGGATGCTTTTACCATGGGTGGAATTTTGAGGTTGGTGCTAAATTGCACATCAATTACTAATCCTGTTCATTGTTAAGAAATCTAAAGGTGAAAATGGCAGTTCAGCAATACTTTCCGTGTTTGCTCTCCAGAGAGCCCTTGTAGCTCTTCTGGTTTAGGAAGGCCTTCTGTAAGCCAAGACCAGACAATAATTTTGACTTCACTGCATCACTGTTTAAAGTAGCCTCAAACCAGACTTTGAATTTAACACTCCCAATACAGATGTAGGGGAAGGTCAGCATTCTTAGAGCTATTTATATTGTTGCCTAGTTGTTTTATGGGGGAATCTTTATAACTAAGAAGATGTACAGGCTTAATTTCTTAAGAAGCCAATATTGGGTAATACTTTCATGTAGAAAACAACCACATTTGGGATCAAATTAAACTTTATTCTTCTGCCTTGTGAATTTTCAGTAGCCTGTACAAACTTAGCAGGGAATAGCACCCATAAGTGGCCCTGACTTTAACATTCAATTTATAAGGCCTTTGCTGAAAATACAACTTTTGCATGTACCTACATCCCTTCATGAAAATCATAAAAGCAACCCACTGCAAAAAGGGTTCGAGATTGTAGTTGTCGCCCTAGGAAAGCTACTGCTATAAGATTGCTGATGTTACCTGACCACTGGGACTTGTTCTGGATGTTGGTGTACTTTACTTTCCATAGACTTCTGTTTCTAACACTGTATTGTTTTCACTCATCTAGACTGTCAACCATTGATGAATCTGGTTCCATTCTATCAGATATCAGCTTTGACAAGACTGATGAATCGCTGGTAATAAACATTTGATCTTTGAGAATACTCTATCTTTTGTATCCCTGTTCCTTCAGAAATAACTAACTCTCTTCTCTTCTGGAATTTCTTTATTACTATTTTATTAGTTAATATGTTGTAGGTACTGAGCTAACCATTTAAAGTATCTAAGTCTACACAGGCTTTTTTAGTTTTTGGAAGTATGAGGATTTGGAATTTATGATTTGGCATAAGGGTAAATTTATTTAACAAATCAGTGAGCTGCATGTGCTGATTGACTGTACCTTATTAAATCCACAGCTAGCAATTAAAAAATGAGCAGACTATCCATACAGGTTTTATTTGCTGTTATTTGGATGAATAGAGCAGTAGTCTAAATTCACTTTATTTTAGCCATTTGCATTCATTTTCAGTAGCTACCTATGAATTCCTACCACAGAATTTAGACCACATGGAACTTTTTAAGTGGCAGTGTTATGCAGAACATCTGATTAGACAGTTGTAATCTTTTAAGAGCAAGAATCAAGCCTAACATGCTCAGTATAGTGCTCTAACATTCTGTAAGTTTTAAAACTAATTACAAAAATAATCAGAAATAAAGGCCAGGCACTGAAGATCATCACGAAGATAGTTGATCCTTTAATTTTTTCTTGTGTCTCCCTGGTATTGATTTCTGATTTTATTAGCTTCAATTTTGGAAAGAAGGCATCCTCCCTTACTATTGTTACAAACTTGAACCCACTCATCCTTCTCTCCTCAAATTGTATGTTAGGTAGTCTGACTCAGGAAGTCTTTAAGATTTGCTATAAATACATTTGCATAGGGTTTAGGGAAGGCCTATCAAAGACAGAAACTAATGCAAAGAATTTTCAACAGGATTGGGATTCATCTTTGGTAAAGACTTTCAAACTGAAGAAGAGAGAAAAGAGGGTATGTTTTTTGTTTTTTTTTTTTTTTAAATAAACAAAACAGTTTTGCCATGACTACTGTATTCCTGACATGTTGCTCTAGCCACTGCTAAAACACAGATGTTTAATGAATTCATGCTGAGGGTGGTGTTGAGAAAGTGTTCCTTGAGGTTGTAACTCAGGATAGAGTCCTGTTCTATTTCATTGTTCTGATGAGCTGCATCTAGTGGAAAAGAATCTGTTTTGAGTTGTCAAAGGAGTTTTTTTTTTTTAAGATTTATTTTATTTATGTATACAGAACTGGGGTACAGGCCAGAGGTGTTTGGGCAGTGAGAGGATTCACCAGGGGAACAGATCAGGCAGATCGATGAAGTACACTACTGAGGGGAGCAGCGGGTGGGTCAGGAGAGGTCAGCTGTGCCATGTGGGTCCCCTCCCTGTCCAGGGATCGAACTCGCACTGAAGCTGCACTTTAACCCGTTGTGTCACCAGGGAGAGCCCCTGTCATAGGAATTATATGAAGGATTTTTGTGCTGTAAGAGAAGCTTCAGATGAAATCTGTGTATAATGGGATATACAGAGATCTGTCTGTGTGTGGTTATTTAGGATACTTAGTATGAGTCCAGAGACTTCAGGTCTTTAGATAAGATTACAGCTCATTGTTTTCTGGTGCTGTCATCCAAATTTTGCAGAGCTTGCTTATTCTAGGGTACTGAGAGTATTTTTATGTTGGTACAACTTAAGCTTCATATGGATGTAGGCAGTGAGAAAAAGCACGTTTTTTATTTACTGTATTCATGGTCTTTGGATTTATATGCAAGTTATTTAATGGGATAATTTAATCTTCTGTGCTTCAGTTCTTTAACACTAAAGTTATTGTTCTTTTCCCCCCACTCAAGCGCTCTAGCAGCCGACAGTTCATTGATGGTCCCCCTGGACCTGTAAAGAAAACTCGTTCCATTGGTTCCACAGTAGACCAGGTAAGAATAGTCACGCTAAGAGAATTTTGTCTTGAAGACAACAGAGTTTAGTGGCCCAGGCATTAAAAATCTTAAGATAACATTGCATTGTTGTTTTGAGAGAGATGTTTGGTGAGTTTTTCTATGAAATAGAAACTTTATCATTTATATTAATCTGATTAAGCAAACAGTTGTCAGGTTTTTTTTGTTTATTTGTTTGTTTGTTTTTTAAGATTTATTTGTGCACACAAGAACTGTGGTACAGGCCAGAGGTGTGGTGGGTGAGAGAATCTACCAGAGACAGAGTGGGGAGTAGAATGGGCAGATGGACTGAAATACACTGCTGAGACGAGTAGCGGGCAGGTCAGGAGAGGTCTGGCACGCCATGTGGGTCAGCTCCCTGGCCGGGAATTGAACACACGCAGCTGTGACTGCAGATAGAGCTTCATAGTGCTGCGCTTTAATCTGTTGCGCCACCAGGGAGAACCACAATTGTCAGTTTTATAGTTGAGTCATATTTGCTTTTATTTGTACCCCTATGGTTGTATATCATTGTTTTAAAGTATCAGTCTCAGGAGTGTTTTGGACTGCGACCTAGAGTTCTTACCAAGATCTATGAATTTTCCTACTACTTCAGTAGTGAAGGAAAATTAGATTCTAAATCTGTTTTTGCGTCATTGCCCCGTTTGTTTCAGGGGAATGAATCCATAGTTGCGAAAACCACAGTGACTGTTCCCAATGATGGTGGGCCCATTGAAGCTGTGTCCACCATTGAGACTGTGCCATACTGGACCAGGAGCCGAAGGAAAACAGGTCTGCAGGGTTTGCCTGTGGAGAACCGCTGATAAAGTTGGTGGAGAATTTGTTTCTTAGAACTGTCCTGAGGCAGGGAGTGGATGTATTGGGTAGTTAGTTTCTTTACTACTGCCTGCTGAGGGTCATAGAGCTGTCGGTGTCATGCTTTACCTTTGGATTGCTAGCCTAACCTATTTTTGAAACAATTTTCTTGGCTTTTTGCATACCCAGGATAGTGTGATTATGTTTACAGGTTACTGGCTATTACACCAAATTAATTGAAATTGCAGCTAAATTCTTTTCACAAGAAAGACCTAAAGACATAGGAGCTTAAATTTGTTGCTTTTCTAGGTACATTGCAACCCTGGAACAGTGACTCCACCTTGAGCACCAGGCAGGAGCCACGAACCGAGACAGACAGCTCCGGCACACCACAGAATACTGGAGGGATGCGCCTGCATGACTTTGTCTCTAAGACAGTAAGTCTGTGCTTTCTCCTTCTTTTGGGCACATTTTCAGTTGTGAAAGTAATACATGTGAGGAATACTCTAGTGTTATACCATTAAATATTGAATTTCCTTCCTCCTTACTTGTCCTCCTCTCTAGTGCTAACTACTGGCTGTAGAAGGTGTATATCCTTCCATTCTGAGTGATACTAGATGAAAAGAAAGAAACTTTGCAGAAGCTGTTCTTTGTGCTGTTTAGTAACACACATTTACATTTTATGCTTGAGTATAGAATGTTTTAACTTTGTGACATTTGATTTCCTCATTAAAAGCCAAGCCAACTGACAGGAACTGAAAAGCGTTAACTGACTCCTTTGAGCCACAGTAAGTGGCAATTAATATGGAGGGTTTCTTGACTCCTCCTCAACCAGTTCTACTGTGCACTGCTCTCTTCCAGCTGGTGACTAGATGACCTTATGTGAGTTACTTAGCCTTTTTGCTTCTGTTTCCTATCTTAAAATAAAACAAAACCTACTTTGTAGGAGTATTGTGAGAATTACACATGTATATATGTATAAAGGGATTAGAAAGTTGGTACATACTAAATGGACATTAAATGTTGGTTGATGGTGATGAACATATTCTAACTTATATAACTGTTCCTTCTGCCTTTGTTTCATCATTAGGTTATTAAACCAGAATCTTGTGTTCCATGTGGAAAGCGGATAAAATTTGGCAAACTCTCTCTGAAGTGTCGCGACTGCCGTGTAGTCTCTCATCCAGAATGTCGGGATCGCTGTCCACTGCCCTGCATTCCTACCTTGATAGGAACACCTGTCAAGATCGGAGAGGTAGGACTTGTGGATCCATCATAATGTTATGGCTTCTTGAGCTTTTCAAAAACTTAATGTCAGTTTTTGTCCTAGAATGAATTATGCCAAGTATATTTACTTTCTTGAATTATGACTAGAAATTCCAGAATGTTGGCTTGCAATAAGTAGAGTCCCTTTTGGGTATATCTTTTAAACTCCTTCCCTTTCCCCTCTTCTTTTCCCCTACCATCCTATTCTATTTTGTAAAATTTCAAATAAACTTCCATCATGTCCTGTTTTGATTTAATAATACTCCCACCTTACCCATCCGATCTTGTCCAGTGAATTAATTTGACTCAAATTCCAGCCATCGTATAATTTCACCTGTGACTATTAAGATTAGGTTGTTTATCTCTGGAGATTTATTTAATTCATTAAGAAATTAATTATTGTAACATTAGCAAAGCAACATTTAGCCAGAACAAAGAGTGAGTACGCTGCTACCTGGCACTCAGCAAGTCAAATGTTAAATTGTTTATTCTAATACAGAACCATGGAGTTGTCCATACAAGTAGGTTTGTGTTTCAGGCAACTGTGAGTTTGTGTTAAGTAAATTTTCTTACTAAGAATGAAGTGTAAGAAAGGTCTCCTTTTTGGAGTAATACATCAGTTTATATCAAGGACCATAGCAGTAATCTCACCAGTACTTGTTTTCTGATGTCTAATACATGCTTTGGGAATAGGTATTTAAAAGTAGGTGGGATGTCCAGCCTGAGTGTTAGTCTTGGAGACGGTTCTTCCCAAATGGCCTCCATCTGCCGGTCTAAGTGGTTTAAATGATAACTTTAATCTCCCCTTTTCAGGGAATGCTGTCAGATTATGTGTCCCGGACTTCTCCAATGATCCCCTCCATTGTTGTCCATTGTGTGAATGAGATTGAGCAGAGAGGACTGACTGAGACAGGCCTGTATCGGATCTCAGGTTGTGACCGCACAGTGAAAGAACTGAAAGAGAAATTCCTCAGAGTTAAAACTGTACCCCTTCTCAGCAAAGTGGATGACATCCATGCTATCTGCAGCCTACTGAAAGACTTCCTTCGAAACCTCAAAGAACCCCTTTTAACTTTTCGGCTAAACAAGACTTTTATGGAAGCAGCCGGTAAGAGTAGATATTAATACTTGAATGTGCATACCACAGGGACAGGGATTTTTGACTCTTCTGTTTACTGCTTTATCACCTGCCTAATACAGTGTCTGAATATTGTAGGTTCTCAAATACTTTGATGGATGAGTAACTATATGCCTGTTCCTCATTATACCTGTCCCCTTTCTGTCTGAAATGTATAGGGTGTTGCTGGGGTTTTTGGTTTTTTTTTTTTTTGATAAGTTTTAGGTTGTCCTTTTTGAACTTGGAGCTAGCTTTGATTCCTTCTCCTTACATCTCCATTTACTCCTGTCAATAAAGGTCTTGCAAAATTTATCTTCACTTTGAAATTTGTCACTCTTTCTACTGCTACCACTCTTGTCAGCTCTCACCCTAGAGCACTGATAGAAGAACCTGTTTCGTCTCTTGCCTTTACTGTCTGACCCTCATACAGTAGCTATCATGGTCCTTTTGAAATTTTTAATTAGCTGATCTCTTATGTATCCTCCATTGTCTTCCCTTCATTCTGAGAATGAAATCCAGTTGTGAACATGGCCCTTCTGGATTTGGTCCTTGGTAATGTCTTCAACATCCTATTTTTCAACACCCTTTCCTTTTTCTCTAGTTACACTGAAATTCTTGAAGTTCTGAGAACATAGCAAGCCTGCTTCTTTCTTGAGGTCTTCACATTTATTATTGTCTCATCCTAGAATGATATTTGCACGATTTTTTCCTTTATATCAGGTTTCTTTTTGGCTATTTTGTCCTCAGAAATCTAATGATCTTGTCTAAAATAACAGCTCCTGTACTTATTTTCTAGCTTCTTGCCTCTTTTATTATATGGACATGTATATCACTACTTGATACGTACTTACTTTTCCATTCACTTCTTCAATAGAATGTATGTCCCATGAGACAAGGTCTTTGTTAGTCTGCTTTATCCTCAGCACTTAGACATAGTTTCTGGCACATTAAACGTGTTTTATGAACAAATTCCTTCTTGAAGATTGTAGTCACTGCAGTTGTGTTTGCCTTCCTAGCAGGCTGATGGGGTCACCATCCTAACTGCAAGAGCCAGTTTCTGATTTCTAATATTGAGCTGTTGGCCAGTATCCTGCTTGTTAATGAAACTAAAGTCTGAGACAGTCATGAACCTAATCAGAAGTTTCAGAAGCTAACTGTATGGATGAGACTTCGTGGTCGATAACTTGAAAGCCCGCTGTCAAGGGAAAGGAGTCTAGGCCTCTTGTGCTTTCTTTTCATTTACAGAAATCACAGATGAGGACAACAGCATAGCTGCCATGTACCAGGCTGTTGGTGAACTGCCCCAGGCCAACAGAGACACATTAGCTTTCCTCATGATTCACTTGCAGAGGTGAGTACAGCATACTTATTCCTAGGAATTAGGGAATTTTCCATGGAGAGATAATGTGGGCTGGGAGGGAATTTAAGGGGTGAATTGTTTTCTTGTAGAACTTATGTTTTGGTCTGTGTTGAAGTAGAGGAGCGAGTCTTCTAATTTAATGCTCTTTTGCTTAGAGTGGCTCAGAGCCCAGACACGAAAATGGATGTTGCTAATCTGGCCAAAGTCTTTGGGCCTACAATAGTTGCTCATGCTGTGCCCAACCCAGATCCAGTGATAATGTTACAGGACACCAAACGTCAGCCCAAGGCAAGTGTGTGTGTGGTGGGGGGTAAAGGGCGGGTGAATGAACTTTTGTAACATGTTGTGAGAGAAGGGTTTGAGGTAAACTTTGGAAGTTTGCTTACATATTTGGTGACTTTAGGTGGTAGAGCGCCTGCTTTCACTGCCCCTAGAGTACTGGAGTCAGTTCATGATGGTGGAACAAGAGAACATCGACCCCATGCATGTCATTGAAAACTCAAATGCCTTTTCAACACCACAGACACCAGATATTAAAGGTAAGGCCTAAGTTGGGCTTCTCACAGGACCTGACTCCCTCTCCCTACCTTAGGTAGAAGCATTTGAAATTCTTATTCTTAACTAAAAATTAAATTATTCTGTGAATTCTAATGTTAAGGAAAGCTTGTACAATTCTAACATCCTAGTGTATGTTTTTCTCTTTTCCACGTTCTTCTTTTTTCTTTATACCCAAATGGAGATGTGTATGTGTGTAAAAGATTTCTTTTGTTTACTTATGCATACAAGAAGTGGAGTTAAGGCCAGAGGTGCAGGTGAGGTGTTGGGGGGGCTGGGGTGTGAGAGGATTCACCAGAGACAGAATGGGGAGCAGAACAGGCAGATCTACTGAAATACACTGCTGAGGGGAACACTGGGGAGGCAGGAGAGGTCTGCTGTGCCATGTGGGTCACTCCCTGATTAGGGATTGAACTCACATTGCAGTGGCTGTGGACAGATTCATAGTGCTGAGACTTAACCCTTTGTGCCACTAGGGAGGCCCCATATGGGTTTTTTTTTTTTAATTTTTTTTACAAAGATTTTTATTTATTTTATTTATTATGTACCCCTGAACTGGGGTACAGGCCAGAGATGCGAAGGGTGAGAGGCTTCACCAGAGACTGTGGGCAGCAGAACAGGCAGATCAAGGAAGTACACTGCTGAGGGGAGCAGCAGGCGGGTCAGGAGAGGTCTGTCTGCCTGGCCATGTGGATCTCCTCCGGGGCAGGCGGGGATTGAACGCATGCGGAAGTGGCTTAAGCTTCTCAGTGCTGCGCTTTAACCTGCTGCACCACCAGGGAGGGCCCCATATGGATATTTTTAAAATAAAGATAGACTGGTGATTTCTATGTCATTTGTTCATTTAAAATATTGTGAGACATTTTGTTACTATATAATATTATCTAATCTAATTATTTTAGTTACAAGCTATCATTAAATATGCTATCGGATATTAATGTTACTTCTCATAATATAAATGCAGTCATCAAGATTATATGTATATGCCTTTTTTTTTTTCCCATTATGATGAATTCCCAGGAAAGGTAATCACTGAATTGAAGAGCTTCAACTTTTTTTGTTTCTTGGTATGTTTTACCAACTTGATTTCTTGAAGACTTGCCAGTTTGTATAAGATTGGTTATATTCCAACCTCACTGGCATTGGTGACCTGTTTCATTAATGCAAGTTCTTTTTTAAAGGAGCATGTTGGGTTTTTTTTTTTTTTTAAAGATTTATTTATTTATTTGTACAGAACTGGGGTACAGGCCAGAGATGCGGAGGGTGAGAGAATTCACCAGAGACAGAGCGGGGAGCAGAACAGGCAGATCGACAAAGTACACTGCTGAGGGGAGCAGCGGGCGGGTCAGGAGAGGTCTGTCTGCCTGGCCATGTGGATCTCCTCCGGGGCAGGCGGGGATTGAACGCATGCGGAAGTGGCTTAAGCTTCTCAGTGCTGCGCTTTAACCTGCTGCACCACCAGGGAGGGCCCAGGAGCATGTTGGTTTTTTAGTGTTGATAAAATCATGTTCAGATGTTCTAGATTTGTGCAAGTTGTAGTTTGGGAATAGTGTAAACTGGAAATAAATGTCAACTATTCATTGAGCAGTTGTTTGCGTAGTTCAGAAAATATACTCTACTGTTTTACAGAATGATGACAAAAACCATCTCTGAGATTTTACTCAGTCTCTAACTCTCAAGTATTTCATAGAATGTTCAGCTTAAAACCGGCTACCTACACTTTCTCTCTTCCCCCCCTCTTGAAAATGGTTTTAACTTTGAAGTGAGTTTACTGGGACCAGTGACGACTCCTGAGCATCAGCTTCTGAAGACTCCTTCATCCAGTTCCCTGTCACAGAGAGTTCGCTCCACCCTCACCAAGAACACCCCCAGGTATGTGGCATTAGCCTGCTTAGGAAAGAACAGCATGGCTTCTTAGACTTCTTTCCATCAGTCCTGAAGCTAATTGAAAGAAAAAATGAATTAGATTTTAGCTGGCATCTGGGCTTAAAAAGGAAGCATAGAGCTGTAAGGACCCCCCCCTTTTTTTTTTTTTTTTAAAGATTTATTTATTT